GCCCTCTTTAGTTCCTCAATAGAAATAGCATTTCCTTACTTTGAACTCTCGGTATCTTAACACAGGAACCTGTATTTGCCTATACTTTCATTAAGAAACGTCTCTATGTATATGTGCCTTCTTTACCAAAACTACTTAATTAAGAGCCTCATGAATAAAGTCTGCCCTCTTTCAGTTGCCCCTGCCGACTGCTTCATTGGTGCAAGGGTGACAGGTATTTAATTTGTCCCCTTTGGAGGAATGACTAGAGTCCCTCTGGATTCTGCTCCCAATGTGCTACCATGCAAGGTCTCACAGTTCAACTCTTTTCTCTCTTCATCTTATCTGATATCTCAGCATTGTCCACCAGAGCTGACCACGCCCTCATTCTTGAAAGTGGAAGTTACTGAGCTTCCATACACTATACCCTTCTGATTTTTCTCCTGCCTCTCTGGCCCCTTCCCAGTCAGCTGTGGGAGATGTTTTTCCTTTACCAAACCATTCAACTTTCAGTTCCTGGGGGGTACTTCCTCCCCAGGTCCCTTTCTCATTCCTTACAAGCAGCCCAAACAATCTGTGCTTGTGTATAGCTCTATTTTAGTAGGAGAGCAAAAGTAACTTCATTCTATCCAATGAGTGCGAGAATGTGTTTCAATGAGCATAGTTCACGTGGTAATCACCAACTGGGGGATAAAGAAAAGAGCAAACCACGGGGTGATGTTTTTTAATCAACAGATTCATGGTGTACAGAGGACAGTTCATGATTATTTAAGTTTTATGGAGACAGGATTATGTGGCTGGCAGGGAAACTTAAGGGTTATTTTGTTGTATAAAATGTCGCACACAGACGCAGACCCTGTTAGTGAATATAAAATCACTCCCGCTTGTGCGACTGGGCTTTAAACCACTGAGGAGGGTCCTTGCGCATTTACCACAGCAAAAGGCACAGCCGCCTCCCTGAGGCGGAAGTGCTAAAGTGTCTGATGATGTCTGGTGACTTCCTTAAAAGAGGATAAAACAACACATCCTCAGGCAAGAAGGCAGATTAAATAGAGCCGTTTTAGAAAGCATCGCGCCTCAGCAAAAATCAGGAATTAATCCAGATGAAGACATTTTGCTTTTAGGGGATCTATGTACTAGTAAAAAGGCATGTTCTACAACTCTACCTTAGAGTGGGGTCGGGGGGATGAGGTCAAAATGTACACTCCATAAAAGTCCTCGTGTTTTTAAAAGTATACCTTAAAAATTATAGAACCAAGTCACCGGCATGTGATATTTCAAAGTGTAGTAATATAAGCTTAATTTAAAAAAATAAATAGATCAGTAACCTTGTAACTTATTCTAATATAAAGAATCTAGTTGTGAGATGGTATCACATTGTGGTTTTAATTTGCATTTCTCTGGTGATCAGTGATGTTGAGCATCTTTTCATATGTCTACTGGCCTTCTGTATGTCCTCTTTGGAGAAGTGTCTATTCAGGTCCTTTGCCCATTTTTTAATTGGATTGTGTGTGTGTTTGTGTTGAGTTTTATAAGTTCTTTATAAATTTTGGATATTAACCCTCATCAGATGTGTCATTGGCAAATATGTTCTCCCATTCAGTGGGCTGTCTTCATTTTGTTGGTAGTTTCCTTTGCTGTGCAAAAGCTTTTCAGTCTGAAGTAGTAGTCCCATTTGTTTGTTTGCTTGTTTGTTTGTTTGTTTCCCTTGCCTGAGGAGATATAGCGGAAAAAACATTGCTACAAGAAATGTCCTTGATTTTACTGCCTATATTTTCTTCTAGGATTTTTACGGTTCTGAGTCTAACATTGAAGTCGTTTATTCTTGTGTGTGATATAAGAAGCTGGTCTAGTTTTGTTGCAGGAGGAGTCAATGGGCCAGATCTCTCAGACACAGTGGGAGCTAGGTCCTTGGGGTGCCGCTGAAATGAGCATTTCCAGACGACCCCCTAGGAGAATGAGATGTGGTAGAGGGCTTTGTGTGTGTGGAGTTACATTCCTCAGGTTGTAAAGGCCCCTGCTCCTTAAGCCAGTCCTGGGGCTCCATTAGAGCCAAAAGCAAGGCCAGCGTCCAGAATTTCCATACCATGTTGCAGCCAGGTTAGCTCAGCATCCAAGCTAATTAAAGTCCATTACTCCATTGAGTGGGGTCCCACATGGCCGTGAGCCATGTCGGCACAGGGGCGCTCACCCCCTGAGCAGGCGTCACAGGAACCCAGTGCGCCAGAGAGAGTACAAACCAAGAGAGAATGCTCCTCCGTTCAGCACAGTTTATGATACAATACTTGTTGGAGCACTTATTTAACCTGCACGTTTCATCTAGAACACTGGCACATTCTCTTCTGTACGTGCAGTAAATTACTGACCAAAGTCCTCCAGTCTCTAAAGTAAACTAGAGGCTTCAACAGAAACTTTATTGCTGTATACACCTGTCTAATCTTGGAGAAACGAGATAGTGATTTTTTTTTTTTATAGTTGAATATTGTGTTCTGAGAGCTTAACTTTCACATCAGAGCTCCACAAACTCCCAGACCCAGACCCATAAAAGATTATATAAACGAGAAACATTAAATCAAGTAATTCCATATATAAAAGCACACCACAACTTTTCCCGCGACATGATCCGTTTTGCTCACTGTTATTCCTTAAATTCACCGCTTCTATTACAGGGACACATGATATCCGTGGTTATAAGTTTCTTGGTAATAAATTATTGGGACTTGTTTAAAATATTTTTAGATTTTTTTTTTTAACAAGAATCTTCATCTCGTTATTTCTTTGTGACCTTCAGGGCCAAATTAAAAAGTCCATGAAAATTGTAATGTGATCTTACCTTGCTTCCATTTTCTCTCGCCTCCTGTTCCATCTTGAGGTCAGAAATTAGCAGAGGCTTGTACTTGTTTTTCCCATCACTGCTGGGGTCGTCTAGTCTGTATTCCGAAGTGAGCTGTGCTGAGAGGGGGCTGTCGCTCAGGTTCAGTGGCTGCTGGTCCTGCTCCAGCCCAGTTTTGCCATCCTCATTGGAGTCGCCCATCTCCCTGCTGTGCGTTCCCCCTGAAGCAGCTGAACTTTGCCCCACAGTCTCATTGCCATTAAAGCTCTCTGCAGCGGAATCATCTGTTGGAAAGAAAACAGATGATTTTCTACTTCAACTAGCATTCACTGAGCTCCTACTATGTGCTTGGCATTGCGCTAAGTTTATATACAATGTGTAATGTATCTTTAAGAATAAGTCTGTACAGTTCCATTGTTACTTTTAATATAGTAGGCACATTTAGGCACAAAAATAAGTGAAAATAAGAAAAAAGAAAAAATAGAGAAAACAGTTTAATTTCAAACAATCCCCAAAATGTAAATTTAAATGAAGAGAATAAGATAATTGTCAGTTATTTTGCCAATAGCTTTTGTCTTTCCAGTGAGAACATCCGTATTTGGTAAAAATGCTCTGATAAAAGCACTGCCTATCCTGCTAATGGGGAACATATTGATTCTAGCTTTGTGGGCGTTTAATATGCATCTAAAGCATTAGAAAGGCTCAAAAATGCCGTTCCAGCCATTACCCTTGTAGGATTTTAAGCGTAAGAAGTTTAATCACTGTGTGTACTTCTGTGCAGGTAAGAAGACATTTATGCCAGTGTTGTTTACAATGGCGAAAACTTGATATAAATTGCCAAAAAAGGAGACTTGCTTAAGACACATGGAATGATTAGGATGTTATGGAATAATTCAACATTCCATTTTAAAGATATAGAAAAATGTGAGTCAAAGTATTCCAGGGAAAAATCTAGTTACAAACAGCGTGGTCAATATAATTCCAATTTCGTAGAGCAAACACATAAACATGGATGGAAAAGACTGAAAAGATATGATCCTAAATGTTAGTATTGACTTCTTCTTAACTATATGGCACTGGATTTTCTAATATTCTTTATTATCTATAACATATCATTTTCTAATAACAAAAACAAGATAACTACAGAATAAAAGCAAAATAGGGAAGAAGTGGAGCAGCAGCATTAAAATTTTTCTGGCTTTAAAATCTATATATAGAAAAGCCTAAGCAACTGTTTGACCATCCAACTGTTTGACAGGTAGCTATAACGCACACTGACCACCAGAGGACAGATGCTCAATGCACAGGCATGGAAACATGGATCAGACTGATGAATCTCAGAGGGAAGAGGGGAGGCGAGAGGTGGGCAGAGATTAACCAAAGATCTTACATGCATACTAGAGGCCAGGTGCATGGACTTATGCACCAGTGGGGTCCTTCAGTCTGGCCTGTGGGGATCGGGCGGAAACCAGCAGTCTGACATCACCTGAGGCGTCCCAAATTGCAAGAGGGCGCAGGCTAGGCCGAGGGACCCCACCAGTGCATGAATCCGTGCACCGGGCCTCTAGTAAATAAGCTTGTTTAGAAAAAGTATATTAATGATACTTTACTGAGACCAAGAAACAAGTTTACATAAAACAATTACCCTTTATTTCTCTTAATTTCATCTTTTCATATATAATAATTTGCTATTAATTTTAAAGGATTATGAAGAACACATATTTAAATGTTTTTGTTAGTTAAAGGCTATTGATGAAACCATATAAATATGAGTAGGAGTAATAATATTCAATATTTTTAATTTTTGTTTGATTTCTGATTTATTTACTTATTTTTAATTCTCACAAGAGCATAATTTTCCAATGATTTTAGATAGAGTAGAAGGGAGGGAGGAAAAAAAGGAGGAAGAGAGAGAGAGAGAGAGAGAAAGAAACATGGATTGGTTGCCTCCCTCATGCGCTGGGACTGGGTCTGGGATCAAACCTGCAACCCAGGTACATACCCTTGACCAGGAATCGAACCCATGACCCTATGGTGTGTGGCCTGATGCTCTAACCACTGTATCACACCAGTTAGGGTGATTTCTGAATATTTTTAAGTATGCGTTACTTTTGTAGAGTGCAATGAAATAGTTAATGCCTTCTAATCAATTAAATTCATGGAAACACTAAAGTCTAATCATTTATTCATCTGTGCTAAGTGCCCACCCTTGGCCTAAAAGGGGTTAAATACTTGGCCCCTAGAGATTCTGCCTTCAACATGTTCTCAGTTAAAAGGGGCAGAAAAATAAATGTGCAACTAGAACTCATGGCAAAAAGGGCTATGAGCCAAAGCAAGCCATGATCCCAAACATCACAGAGCATTTCCCAAGGACGCTGACATATGACTGAGCTCCAGCAGAGGCGGCGGCCTTCCCACCAGCTGAAGCAGTTGGAGGGGAGGGTCTCCCACCGAGAGATCGGCTGGTGCCAGTCACAGAGAAAAGCACACGCAGGGCTGAGCAGGAAAGAGAAAGGAAAGAAAGAGAAACCCAGGCAGGGAGGAGGAGGAGGAGGTGATGGGAAGTGTTGTGTATCAGAGAGCTCGACTGCAGCTTGAGAGTCAATAGAAGTGACTTTATTGTGGAAAATGTTTTAAAGAGATTACTCTGATTCTGATGAGAATGGGATGAAGGCAACAAAATGGAAGTTGGGGAGACTGGTTAAGAGATCTGTAAGTCACCCAAGTCAGCATTGCTGCAGGGAAGCTCAGACTAAAGCAGCAGCCGTGCAGAGAAGGAGGGACCAGAACAACCCTAAGGAGAGTCGAGGAGACGGACGGTGGGCGGACAAGGCCCAGGAGCAGCCAGGTCTCTAGCTCCAGGAAAACATGAAAACGAAGAGCGCTGAGTTTAATTTCAGTAAAATGCTCTTTTAGAACAAGTATTCTAAAAGTATTTTGAGGAAAAGTTAAAATGTGTTCAAATATTCTTCTATTAAATTATTCTTTTTATGTACCCAATCAAGAAAAGACTTCATGTGGAGCAAAAACATACATAAGAGAATTTAGGAACCTGGCCATAAATAATGTGAAATTGCACTTCCCATACTATTAGTTTGAGAAATCAAAAACATCCTTTTAACAATGAAATAGCTAAGGTTTTTCAAATAATTGGGTTTTTCAAAAAATTGTGCTTTTTATATATATATAAAAATTGTGCATATTTTTTATGTTATGTCAAATCCTTAGGCTAAAGTATAAAAGGTAATTTGGGGTTAAGTTATTCCTTTCCAAGGAAGTCCGAAGAAAAACATAATGGACTTCTACATGTCCAATTCTTTAATTTATGAAGAAAAATGTGATTTAACATTTTGTACTAAAATCCTTTAAAAATTACTAAACATTCCATGTAAGAAATTTTATCAATATAGTAAAAGAATGAATAACCCTAAAGAAATATTACATTTTAAAATAAGATCTTCACATTAGCATGAAACAAATCCAATACCCATTGTAGTTAAAATTCAAACATGCTATATTTGTTCCTTTAATCTGAAATCATCATAAATATTTAATGAATAGTGTACCAGTTATTCATTTTTCAGGGAAGGTAAACATTACTATTTATCAGGAAAGTCTTTAATAAAAGTCATGTATTTATAATTTTGGTACAAACAGTAAATGAATAAAGGAGAAAATATTTTTAGACAAAGTAGTTCTCTCCAGATGTTACCAAGGTAACTAAATTCAACAGCCTTACATATTTCATTCCTGAGTAAATCAGTATATTTTTTATGATGAACAAATGAGTGATTTACTCATTTGCATCGAATATATATTCACATATTTTATAATGTAAATAGTAAAAGAATCAGTAACTGTCACATGCCACTATTTTAAAAATCAAAATTCAAAACAAAGTTTGTGTTGTCTACATTAGAGAAATTCAATATAAAGGAGTGAGCAGACATTAAACGGAGGATAAATGAAACGTTTTCTATTGTGTAGCTTTGGGTGACCACATTGAAGGTTTTTATTCTTAAAGAGACTTTTTCATCATCAAAACCCACAAATCCCAGACTCCTCTTTGTCATAACCAGTTCACATCAGTTTATGGCCTTCAAGCGGGGACATCTGTGTCCTTACCCATCCTGGGGGGCTGCTGGTGTGTGGACACCGGGCTGCTACACGGAGAGGGTGGTCTTTACATCTGGAGGAAGGGCCTGGGGTTCACAGGCCCAGGGCGACGGCGCTTCTCCCCAAGGTTAGCCTGGGCACCGGGGCATTGGAACCACAGACTGTATTGGAGCCCTGAGGGGAAAGAGCCCCCGAGCTCTGGGTAATAAGATGGCCCAGGGTACCTAGCAACAGAGGAGAACGGGGGAGGTGGTGACCAGGAGGCGCGGAATCCAGTGACATCAGAAGGGCAGTTGGATGTTGGGGTGGCATTTGTGCTGAGGTCAGTGTCGATGGGATTGTGGGGCGGGCCGTCCGAGTGAGCTCAGCGGTGGCTCTTGTCTGTAAGTCACAGTCACACGGACGAGGCGGCAGGCCACTCATGGTTTTCTTCCTCCTTCCGTTCCCTACTGCCCTTCCCCCCCACCGGTTAGAACACGTTAGAAATGTGATTGTTTAAGTCAGTGATGGCGAGCCTTTTGAGCTCGGCGTGTCAGCATTTTGAAAAACCCTAACTTAACTCTGGTGCCGTGTCACATATAGAAACTTTTTGATATTTGCAACCATAGTAAAACAAAGACTTATATTTGTGATATTTATTTTATATATTTAAATGCCATTTAACAAAGAAAAATCAACCAAAAAAAATGAGTTCGTGTGTCACCTCTGACACGCGTGTCATAGGTTCACCATCACTGGTTTAAGTAGATAGTTTCATCAGCACCAGACTCAAAGGTCAGCTCTTGCTATTTAAAGAAAATTAACCTATAACCTATGTCTGATATGTATTTATATGTATATCTGTATTTACATGTATGTATGCATGTATGTACCTACCTAATAATATGTGCTAAATGTGTTTGAGATCTCCCAAACACCTGACCTACTTTCTTATTCAGCTACTTTCAGTCGCTCTTTATTATGGCCTTTAGGCCAAGTGCCTTGGGCAAAACGCAAAGGGAAAATATAGAACCCTCATTTTCAGATTGCTACTTGGAAATTCAGTCCTAAAATCCAGGTTAGATGCTTACAGAGTCCGAAGCTTTTCATGGTTTCCCCCAAGTGCACCACAGGCTCCAGCGCTAGTCCTGTGATGCCTCCTGAGAAAACCTGCCTTTCATATCTGACC